CCCACACTTTCCTTCAGAGTCACCCAAACACGGCTAGCTATGGCAATTCGTATGTCAACCTCACTAACAATGTGCACATTCCTGGAAAGTACACTGACAAGGTAAGTGAACTTATCCATAGCATTCAAAACTTCTCCATTTGCTGTAACCAATGGTTCCCGACCAAAGTGGAGGGATTTTCGGATTTTCTGTTTGCAGATGATTGTGCACTCAATGTAGCCTTTGAAACTGAGATGCACCAAAGTATGGATCGATTCTCTGCTGCTTGTGTAATTTTGGCCTGACAACACCAAGAAAACACAGGTGCTCCATCAGTCAGCACCGCACCATCCATACTTGGAACCACTGGTTACAATGGATAAGGGAGGGAGGACTTTTAGAAGGGTGTATAGATTAAGATTGAGGAGGGTGAGGGGAGAGGATAAGGGAGGCACTCTTGGAAGTAGATTAGGGAATAGGAGAGCAAGGTAGGGGTTAGAAGTAAATTACACTGTTAAGGAGGAGTAGGGTAAACAAGGTTAGAAGGATAAATAGTGAGGAAAAATAAGAAGAAGAAAATGTCCAACTAATAATTATAACTTGGAATGTGAATGGGATGATTTACCCATAACACAGAAAAGACTAGCAGAATGTATTAAAAACCCAAATCAGACAATATGTTGTTTACAAGAAACACAATTAAAAATGAGGGATACACATAGAGTTAAAATAAAGAGCTGGAGTCAAATTTATTATGCTTCACTGATGTAAAAAAAGCAGGGATAGCAAGCATGATCTCAGACAAAGTTGAAGGGAAAACAGATTGAATTAAAGAGATAAAACAGGGAAACCACACTATGTGTCACCAATATTATTCAATATTATTTTTAAAATGCTCGCAATAGTAATAAGAGAAGAAAAAGAAATTGAATCAGAATGGGAAATGAGGTAATAAACTATCTCTTTTTATAGACAATATGATGATATATTTGGAAAATCCTAGAGATTCAACTAAAAAGTTAGCTGAAACAATTAATGATTTTAGTAAAGTAGGAGGATGTAAAATAAACCCACTTACATCATCTGCATTTTTATATATCACCAACAAAACCTGGCAAGAAGAGATAGCAAGAGATATCTCATTTTAAATAACTGTAGAAAGTATAAAATATCTGAGAATATACCTGTCAAAACAGACCCAGGAACTACATGAACATAATTATAAAATTCTTCATACAAATAAAGTTAGATGTAAATAACTGGAGAAATATTAATTGCTCATGGGTAGGCAAAGCCAATATAATAGAAATGATAATTTTATTTAATGAATTTATTCAATGCCATCCCAATTAAATTGCTAAAAAATTATTTTACTGAATTAGAAAAAATAATAACAAAATTCAATTGGAAGAACAAAAGGTCAAGAATTTCAAAGAAACTAATGAAAAAAATGTAAAAGAAGGAAGTTCAGCAGTACCAGGCCCCAAACTATAAAAGGCAGCAAATTATCAAAACCATCTGGAACTGGTTGCAAGCTTGTATTTGACAAAATATTTAAGTTTCAGGGATCATATTTCATAATTTGGTAAGAACTGCTGGGAAACCTAAAAAGCAGTCTGGTAAAAATTGGGCATAGAACAATTATATTAAACCATGTACCAAGATAAGGTCAAAATGGATACATGACCTAGCTAAAAAGCGAGATATCACAAAAAAATTAGAAGAACATGGAACATATTACCTATCAGACTCATGGATAGGAGAACAATTTATGAATAAACAAGAGATAGAGAACATTGTGAGGTGTAAAATGGATAATTTTGATTATATTAAATGAAAAAGTTCTTGTACAAATAAAACCAATGTAGCCAAGATTAGAAAGAAAGAAAATTGGGATAAAGTTTTTAGAGTCTCTCAGATAAAGGTCTCATTTCTCAAATATATAAAGAACTTTGTCAAATTTATAAGAATACAAGTCATTCCCCAACTGATAAATGATCACAGGATATGAAGAGGCAGTTTTTCGATCTTGAAATCAAAACTGTCTAAAATCATATGAAAAAATGCTCTAAATCATTATTGAAAAGAGAAATGCAAATTAAAACAACTTTGAGATATCATCTTACACCTATCAGATTGGTTAAAATGATAGATACCCTTCAATTCAATTCAATTGGGGAATGGCTATTGTGGTATATGATTGTGATGTAATACCACTGGTTATAAGAAATGATGAGCTGGTTGATTTGATTTGATTATTTGAAGAATCTGAATTTAATTGTGTGAATCAAAGTCACAGAACTGATTAAAAATAAACTAGGAAAGACCATCGTAAGGGTTATTTTAGGACAAGCGGAAGACAATTTTTATATCTGTTGAAATAACCTTACATCCATTGAAAGAAATAGATTTACTAAAGTAAAATACCCATTCTTCTGAGTGTTTCAGAAGGTGGGAAAAAGAAAAAAAAACATATAAAGTCAATTACAGAACTGATTTCTATACTCCAGAATATCAATGAAAAAGAATGATCTCCCCAAAAGAGACAGTTTGAAGATATAAGGCTTTTATTAGGATAAACTGATTCTTAAGTAGTCTGAAACTATATAATTTTAGTTTATTTTCAAAAAACACTGAATTTTAGAATTTTAATTTTTCAATAATCTATTTTCTAATGTTTGTAATAGCTAATTATCATTAACAAAAAGTTCCAAGGAAACCTCAATAAGAAATTATGTGTGTCAATTAGGGACAGGAATTACAAACCACCCCCCCCCCCCCCCCCCCCCCCAAATTCAAAGAAGTCTAGTAACTGACTTAAAAGGATAACTTTATTTCCTTGACCTATCTTAATACCTATTGATACCTATCTTGAAGTAAAGTTAATAGGTAAAGTGGGGAGATGGAGAAAAGGAGTAATTAAGCGAAAGTATAATCCTTTACTACAAAGCTACAAAAAAAGAGACCCCAGTGTTCAGTAGCTTAGTTGGTACCATGGCTGCAGAAAGTTATCTCTTTCCTACACAACTGATTTCCTATATTTGGAAGTTAACTATCTTTCTCCACATAGGAGCTTTTAACCATTAAATGCTTCAACTAGATGATCAGAGAATTATATATCATACTTCAGACTCCCTGGAAAAAGAATTAGTTTTTCCCCAAAACAATTAGCAGCCCTTTGAAAGACAAAACAAAGAAACAGAACTTTTTCCAAAATTATTGTCTGAAGACTCATTAGACAGCTGCAGGAAGGGGCAGCTAGGTGGTGCAGTGGATAGAGCTCTGGCCTTGGAGTCAAGAGGACCTGAGTTCAAATCCCACCTCAGACACTTGACATGTATTAGCTGTGTGATCCTGAGCAAGTCACTTAACTCCGACTGCCTCACCAAAAAAAAAAAAAGACAGCTGCAAGAAGTCAAGTGACACCTATTAATGAGACTTCAAAGTACATCAACAGGAAACATCCATTCTGACACATTCAGAACTTACCAGGTCTAGATAGAAATCGTATGCCATAGCTGTAAATACTATAAAGGAAAAAAATACTAGAGAACATGATATTCCAACTTGCAAAAGATAAATGCTCATCACAAAAAATAACTTGCCTTCAAAACAGTATAATTCTACAGAGGAAAAAATTGACTTTTAATAGAATAAAGATTTTTAAGTATTCCTGATGGAAAGAACAATGCTAAGTAGAAACTTTGAAGTATTAAAGCGGGAGTGAAGAGGAACCCAAAAAGTTAACTACATTTCACCACATGGAAAGATTAATGGTGATGAAGTGCTTATGTTGAACAAAGAGAGAAGATACATGTGTTCCTTCAGAATCCTAATGCCTTGGAGAGTCACAGAGAGTATCAAGTAAGACAAACTTGGAAAAAACCAAAAAGTAAGCCAGCAAATACAATGTATACATTTGTAAAAGAAAAAAGAGATGGCTGTCTCAGGAATAGGACATTGGCCCTTTTTAAAGGATGACTGGTCCACAAAGAGGTGCACATCAACTTGACTGAGGCTGATTGGAGAACCCTTTCATTACGAACTAAGCTACTCTCATCGAACTGTCAATCATTTGTAAGCCGGGCCTGCCTGCTCTCCTGCAAACCTTCTGCAGACATTTAGCAGACCTTTTAAATCCTTAGAGGCATCTCCTCGTAAAAACCCGCTTTTCCAAATAGCATGCAAATAAGCGTCAGACCCTGAATGTAAAAACTTCCCGCGAACAGGGCCAGGCAACCACGCAGCACACCGCCTACTCCTTCCTAACGGAGAAAGCGGCCACGATGGTTCAGTTTCACATTGGCCGTTTACCACGTGTTATTAACAAGTGCAGCTGCGCCCTTTGGGAGTTAGCACCCTCGGCAGAGAAGCTGGGTTTAAGATGAAGTGTGTAGGGTCATACTTGGTGTGGAAACTTGCCAGAAAATAGAGAATTGCTGGAGAAACTGTGAAGAAGTAAGCTGCTCTCCATAGTCCGGTCGTCCGCAGTGAGTCAGCAGCCGGGCTTGCCCCTGGTCAGGGCTTTCCAAAGGTGTTTCTCTTACCGGGGGTGAAAACACTGTCGTGCCCAGATCAGGGCTAATATTTGTTTGTCCGAGCGACAGGACTCAGCGGGAACGCTGGGCAAGACGATACGGAGCAAGCCAGCTCCCACTGCGCATGTCAACCGCACGCTGCGGCCTCATTATTTGGATTTACCTCGCTGTGAGCCACTCTAACACGTCATACCCCGCCAGAAGCCCGCGGGGGCCCCGGAGCCGGAGCTCCGCCCTCCCGAGAGGGCGTCGCCAGCCGAAGCCTCAGGAGCCGAACGCCGCAGCGGCCCGACTGACAGGCAGGCTCGCCAATCAGATGCTGCCTGGGTGCGCGGGAGGCGGGGCTAGCTCCCGGATTGACATCCGCCTCTGGGCTCCAGTGCTTCCGGGGAGGCCAGCACAGCCCCTCGAGGCTGAGGGAGGAGCCTGCGGCCGAGGGCCGGGTCGGGGCGGTCTGAGGGGAGGCGAGCTGGTGGATTTAAAAAAATGTGAAAAGACGTGGACCTATGAAGGAAGATGCTCTACACCTCCGGAGAAATAACACATAAATAGAAGTATGTATAGTATGGTTTTACGTATGTGTATATATGTGTGTGTGCGTGTGTATGTATGTAAGTATATATACGTGTGTATGATATATATATATATAACGTGTATATATGTGTGTGTATGTGTATATATATATATATGTGGCAAAGAATAGCCTCCTAAAAAAATAGATCTGAGAGGGGAAGCCCCTCAGGGTTGTTTAATCACTGAATGGCATTGCTCAGCCAAACTAAGACCTGTTAAAGACCTTAGCTTAAAAAGGCCAAGGCCCCCCACCGCATCCTGGGCGGTCTCCTCTCATCCCGATCTGTATCTGGTCACTGGATCCACATGGCTCCAGATGGAGAAAGTGAGGCTGGTGACTTTGCACGGCCCTCCCTCACCTACATCCAATTCACTTGCATGTCATGGCATCACCTCCCTGATGTCACGGTCCTCTTGGAGAATGAAGGACAAACAGCAGCGGCAAGCATATGTACATTTATGCATATCCGTGTTGATTTGTAGCCTTCTCTTGGGAGGGCTGGAGAGGAAGAGAGAAAAAAAAATAGAAAGTGCACAGCAGAGAACAAAAGAAAATTTAGAAAAAAGCACAGAAAAGCTGGGTAGCTTTGAAAACAGTATGTAGTATTTATTATATAGGTTTTTTTTTTTTTTAAAGTAAGCAATCTGATAAATAAATAAAAAATAAGGAGGCAGCTAGGTGGCGCATTGGGTAGAGCACTGGCCCTGGAGTCAGGAGCACCCGAGTTCAAATTCGGCCTCAGACAGGTAATACCCACTAGCTGTGTGGCCCTGGGCAAGTCAGTTAACCCCATAGCCAAAAATAAATACATAAAGTAAACAATCTGAAATGGAAATTCATGGTTTTATATATTGAATTCTCTCTATGCTCTGCTGTGTACAGGGAAATGTTTTTTTTTTCTCCTCTCATTTTGTATTTAAGTTTAAAATAAATTTAAAAATTTAAACTTTTTAATTACAGAAACAGCTAAAAAAGAAATGTGTAACATTTGAATTATACTATATTTGTGAACATCTCCAACAATTTATAAAATTACTACATTCAATTTAATTCTTGTTTACATTTCCAGCCTTTCACAGAGTTTGTTCTAAGAAAAAGACAAATGAATTAGATTGTATATCCATGTTTTAATTTCTCTCAAGCTGGCAACATGCATTGCATGGGAGTTACAGTTCAGAACTGGGCCCCACCCTAAGGGGGCCAGTACAGAACTGGCTCGATTTGGGAGTTGGGGTACCCAGTTTATATACCTTTTCAACAGGGGCTGATATCACCCCACCTACCAACTACAGAGAAAGTACCTCTTCTATCAGATCAGCCCCCAAGCATCCCAGACCACTCTCAGCCTTGAGCAATCTAGGCAGAAGAATCTGTCAGCACCCAAGCCTGAGCAGACCTTTGATTAAATCAATTCAGGCATGGGTTGAGGTTTGGCTACAGTAAGGAGATGCAGTGCAATCTCATTATTAGTAATTCCTTCTAAAGGACTTTAGAGAAGGGAGCTGGGGGTGGGAGCTCTGAGTCTCCAAGATACTGATTACTTAAAGAAGTCATTTTTCAAAACATTAAGTCCTTCTTTCACTAACACTGGACTATTTAGTCATTAAATTAAAAATTTAAAAATATAGTAATTTCAAGGGTGGTTTCAGGACATTTTTTAATACTGAAATTAGTCAGGGCAACAAGATTCACTGGAGATTTAATTTTATTTCCATAATTTTATTAAATCATGTGTTGTAAGGAGAGTTTTCAAGGTGACCTGTTCCAGCACCACATCTCCCCTCTAAATTGCCCATATCATCCTAGCCTAACCCAATGAATTAATGTGTGTTGTGTGTGCAGGGCTTTTTTTTTTTTTTTATTATTATACCTTTCTTGTTAAGTTTCAAATGTGGCAAAGGACTCTGAAAACTCAGGAAGGAAAAGAACATGTTTACAAGATACTATCAATTAAAACTACAGTTGATTTTTTTTAGTCACAGGAACTGCACATAGAAGTAATTACTTTTAACTTTCTCAGTGGGTTACTCCTAGAATTCTCTTTTCACATTTGTTTTTTTCCCCTAAACATGGAAAGGAGTTTTAAAATACCTGCATGTAACTAGAAACCATTAATCCCTTGCTAGTGTGTATGCACCCATATACACTCTAATAAAGCAGGTAAAGGGTAATACTTTTATAAATAATACTTTTCTAAAAGTAATGAGTTGAATCAGGGAATTTATCCTGCTGCAGTATTCTTAACCTTAAGAAACTCATTTTAGTTATTGATTAACATGTCAGATGCAACTGGAACAGGATTCAGATTTATCCTAAATTAGTTTCTCTGTAGATGTATCATCCGTGTGACCTACAGCAGGTTTCAGACATACTTATGGCAGCAACTGTTAAGGACCTTCAGTTTCCTCTTTAGGGAACATTAGAATTCCTTGACCCTAGGGAGTGCTCAAAATTTACTATATGTGTCAACTAATGCCCTAAATTTGTTAACTGTGTCAATTAAAGTATGTTCTATAGGAAAGAACTGTTTGGATACAAGCTACTGCTTGTAATTTGTAGCTGTTCCCTCAATATTCTTTACTACTCTGAAAATACCCTTGCTTCAAAACACCAAAACAAATTGCTGAGTTGTTGGTTTTCTTTTAATGGTTCCTCAAAATCAAGATTTTTACAAGAAAAATGTCAATTCACAATTGCTTCTACTCTATTTAAAGGGAAAAAAATTTGAATTGTATAGCTAACATTGAATCCCTTCTTCAAAGAAACTAGCTTAACTCAAATTAAAAGTCAGTTGTTTTTCTCTCTGTTCACATCAGGATCAAAAAGTAGTTTTTTAATAAGGTCCTAGTGACTTCAGAAAACATTCCAATGGAAAACCTAAACTGCCCAGCAATGGATAATAGTGGGTATATCTAAACAATCTAACTGGAAGAAAAACCAGAACTCCTAAAAAGTGACACTTTACCCACCAAATGCACATGATATACAATAGGGATACTATACTCTTGCCCTATTCATAAAGATCCTAAGAATTAACTGTTTGACAGGCTTTAGAAATTACAAGTACTATATAAAGATTGTTACGAGTGATAGTTTGTCAAAAGGAATAAAAGATCATTTAAAATCACTTTATTAGACAGTAGTAAATCTTAGATACTATGAAGGAAAAGAAAAAAATTTGCTTAAAGATTTCCTAAAAGACAAAATATGACACCAGGGCAACAGGAAATAGCTTATTCTTGAGCACAACATTTTAGAAATGATATTCCAAGTGAATGGCAACCAGCATTTTAAAGGGCTTTGGGGTCATATTATATGAGGATCACTTGAAGGAACGGGGCAGCTGGGTATATCTTAGAGAACAGGAAACTCAGGGGAGTAGTTTGCTGAAGTTTTTGAAGTGTTACTCAATAAAAGAGTTCTGCTTAGTGCCAAATGGCAAGTAAAAGCAGTGATTGGAAGCTACTGAAACACTGTTAGGTTTGATCTAAGGAAAACTTACTAATAATTAGAAGTTAAAAAATGAATGGGACTCATCAATCGAGGAATGGCTGAACAAGTTGTGGTATACAATTGTGATGGAATACTGTTGTGCTATGAATAGTGACAAGCATGAAGTTTAAAAGCTTTTTCAAAAGCAAAATTAGTGCAGTTTGAATTAGAGGAGAATGTTACCTGAGGAACATCTTTGCAACAGATTTATCTGTTGGAAGTCTAATATCTAAGATATTATGCTGAATTGAGACAACTTTATAAGAACAAGGGCTCTTCTCCAGTAGAGAAATGATCAAAGGATATGGAGGGGTATTTCCCAAAGAAGAAATGCAAGCTATCTAAAAGCACCTGAAAAAAAAAAAAAAAAACCAAACCTCCAAATCACAAACAAAAAATGCAATTTAAAATAATGTAGAATGTGGTAAGGGGAAATAAGAAATCTGAAGTGCTACAAAAAAAAGCTAAGGAAAGAAAGATCACTTTTAACTGAGGAGGGATTCTCAGCATCAGTATTCATTCATTCTTCCACCTTCCTTTTCTACCTCAGAGTTCTCAGGCATCCTTTCTCCACACTCAAAGCTAATTTATCTTGAGGTCCTGACTCCATTTTACTACCTCTTCCAGGACCTTACTCCAGACACCCAGATACCTTATCCCTAGCTACATTCATTCACTCACCTTAGCCTAAAAACATATTCAGTATTCTTCAGTCCTAAAAAGCTTGCTTTTGATGCTTCTTTATTCCATCTAGTTAATGTTATATCTCTGTACTCCATTTCACAATCAAAATTCTTGAAAAAATAGTCCTATACCCATTGTCTCCAGCACCTTATAATTGGTTTTCAAATCTAATCCACAAGGTTACCAATGGCTTCCTAATTACCAAACTCAAAACCAAGTTTTTTTCAGTGTTCATTTTCTTTGGCCTCTCTATAGCAGGCTATATATCTAATAGCATGATACTATTGACCAACCTCTAAGTTTTGTCAAGAAGGTATATTTAGATTAACGAATCGAATGTTTATAACTGTACCCTTTCCACACTCAAGATGGGTGGCACATGTAAGAAATGATGAGCAGGATGATTTAAGAAAAACCTGGGAAGACTTATTTGAATTGATGCAAAGTGAAGTGAGCAGGAGAACATTGTATACAGTAACAGGAAATTTTATTGCTGATCAACAGTGAATGACTTAGCTATTCTGATCAATACAATGATCCAAGACAATGCTGAAGGGCTTATGATAAAAATTGCTATCCATCTCCAGAGTGAGAAAACGGATGGAGTCTGAATGCATATTGAAACATATTTTTAACTTTTATTTTTCTTGCCTTTTTTTTTGGCAATATGGCTAACACGGAAATATGTTTTGCATGATTTCACGTGCATAATTGATATCACATTTCTTGCTTTCTCAATGGGTAGGAGAGGAGCAGGAGGGAGAGACTGTATTCAGAACTCAAAATTTAAAAAAAAAATTTAACACAATAAATAAATAAATAATGATCTGGGATGGGGTGGGGAGACAGGTGGCATATAAAACCAAGAAGATGTTAGATGGCATTTAAAAACTTAGGCAAGTACTCTGTATCCTGTTTGTATTAACATCTTTCAACCAATTCTAGATCTGTATTATTTATTTTTTCAGTAGAAGCTGTGGTGATACAATGATAAAGTCTCAAAAATTGTGTCCATACAACAGACAAAGGGCAGACTCTGATAAGCAATATGTATCACCAATGCCATCAGAGCCTTTCAACTTCAATGGTAAAGTACTCTTTATATGATTGTTAAAGGAAATGGAAAAAACCACAGAAATCATTTAAAGCATTTGAAAACAAATGTGAGATTGTTTTTCTTCCAGTCTGGAGATTTTCTGCATGGGCTTTAAGTTCTTCAGAAAACTCATTTTTCCGTTTGAAACTTCCCATAGTACAAAGATCATACTAATGCCTAAAACAGGGCAGGAAGCCTGAAATCTAAGTTTCTTGGCATAAGCAAAAACCAAGGTATTAAAAATTAGGAAAAATCTCAATGGTAAAGTAATATTATTAGAGTAATTAGAATTTTCAAATGGGTCTGCAGATGGTTTTTCTATTTAATGTTTATAATGACAGTCTCCCAGATTATCATACTTAACAAATAGTTAGCAATATGCTATCGATATGGGATACAACTGTGTAATTGTCAGGAATCCATGCTGAAGTGAATTCATCAGCCACAAGAAGAAAGGAACACAGAATAGGAAAACAAATTCAGATTAAATCACTGTCTTTAATGACTAGCCTTTCTTTTCTCTGTAATAAAGTTGAGTAGAATGAAATTTTCTTTTTTTAAAAATTTTTTTATATTAATTTATTTTTAGTTTTCAACTTCACTTCCATAAGCTTTTGAGTTTTAAATTTTCTCTCCCTCCCTCCCCATCTCCCTTTCCAAGATGGTGTGCAATCTGATATAGACTCTACATATACATTCCTATTAAACATATTTTCACATTAATCATGTAGTAAAGAAGAGTTAGAACCAATAGGAGGAACCACAAGAAAGAAGAAACAAAACAAAACAGAAGAGAAAAAAAAGAGCAAATAGTATCCTTCGATCTGCATTCCAACTCCATAGTCCTTTCTCTGGATGTAGATAGCATTTTCCATCATGAGACCTTTGGAGATGTCTTAGATCCTTGCATTGCTGAAAAAAGCTAAGTCTATCAAAGTTAGTCATCGCACAACGTGGCTGTTACCATGTGCAACATTCTCCTGTTTCTGCTCATGTCACTCAGCATCAGTCCATACAAGTCCTTCCAGGTTTTTCTGAAATCCACTTGCTCCTCATTTCTCACAGCACAATAGTATTCCATTACATTCATATAATACAACTTGTTCAGCCATTCCCCAATTGATGGGCATCCCCTCATTTCCAATTCTTTGCCACTACAGAAAGAGCAGCTATAAATATTTTTGTACATGTGGGTCCTTTTAGAATGAAATTTTCTTATCCAGCAACAGAGCACCAAAACATGTTATTCACAAATATAACATTTTTTAGATGATACGGTATTCATTCTACAAGTAGTATAAGAGAATTAACCTACTCAAGAATGTGTCATTATGGCCTGTTCCACATATATTATCTATATTATTCCCCCAAAGCCCTCAAAATATATGAAAATAGGGAGGGTTAAAAAAAAAAAAAAGAAAAATTTGTCTGCCTAACAATACTTGTTAAATGCATTAAATACAAATTCCAGAAATAGAGAGAAAAAGTATTTATAGTGTAACCACATTGTCTAATCTTATTTATCTTGATTCCAAATCTCTTCTGTTCCTTTCCTCCCCTCTCCATCATAAATACTATTACTGTACTAATAATTATGGCAGAAAGGGCTAGAGAAGTTTCACTATCGGCTTAAACATCAAAAAATTGCACTGTATGAAAATATTATTTCATATTCAATAAATAATGTCGAGCAAATCCATGAATGAATGAAGATAGGAGAAAAAAATGCAACTAGTATCTGAGAATGCCTCTAATTTGATAATGAATCTGTGATGTGAAGCAACCTGGTCTGCTTGAATACCCACCTCCAAAGTGGGATTTGGGGAGATATACTAAATGAATCACCTGCTGTGTTTATTCATTATTGGTACAGTCAAAGTTACCCGGATATTACCCCAGACTGGTTCCTGTGGGAAAAAAATGTTTTGGGTTATTTTTTTTGGGGGGTGCCTAGGTCCAATATAGTATGGATCCCAAAGTTAAAGAGCCAATACACTGCTGTTCAATTCCAGCAGAGCTGACCAGTTCTGAGATGGACCTTGGATGAAGGGGAATGAGATGCTTATGTCACATCTTGGCATAGATTTTCACTGTATCCTTTGTTTATGGTACGATATTTTACATTCGGGTAACAAATTCATTTTGTTTACTATGGAATATGGTGTAAAAGGTTGGTACACACCTAATTGCTGCGGGACTGCTTTCCAATTTTCCTAATTTTTTTTGTCAAAGAGGCAGTTCTTTCCCAAGTTTGTCAAATACTGGATTCTGTTTTGTGATATTTTTTTGCTTGGTCTTGTTCACAGATCTACTTTTCTGTTTTTGAACCAGTACCAAAATGTTTGCTTGATTATAGATTTATCACAGAATTTCCAGTTCTTTCTCATGAAAGACTATAGATTGTTTATTAGTATCCTTTATTTTGGCATCAAAAAATTATTAGTAATTAAGTTGTGTTACTTGGAGCTGTTGTTCTGCCTTAAATCCAAATGGACTATATAACAAGTTATAAATTATAAACAATCTAAGTGATAATCATTCATAAGTATAAACACCAAGGTATGTGGGGTTAAGCTGAATATTGGGTATGATGTGACTTAATTACATTTAAGCATACTACTATTTTTCAAGGAAAGAATTTAACTGAGTCACCTAAGCCTAAGTGGTAGGCTCTTCATAAAAATGGATCACCAACTATCAATGTCCTTCAAATCTTTGAAGAATATTGTTTATGGAGCTAAGAAAGCTGCATGATTTTTCAAAGTTTTAGCCACAGACTTGAAAGGTTTCATATATATATAGGATGCTTAGCACATAGTAAGTACTTAAATAGTTTTCTTTCCATAAGGCAATTATTAGTAATAAACTGCTATAACATTATTGAAGTAATACTGTTTCTAGCGGGGGGGGGTATTTATACCAGATACCCCTGAATTATGTCTAACATTACAGAGTACTTGAATTTTTTTTTTAACCAATTAAAATCAGTGTTCTCGATTTATTTTGAAAATCCCCACTTTAAGTATAAATAAATTAGTTTTGTCTTTATTCTGATTTTAGAGACAGAACGTGACAAAAGGTGATTTGTCTGAGATCATATAGTTTAGAGGGATGATGCTTAGGACCAAGTGAAAAAAAGCTAGATCTCATTCTTTTTTCTAGCAGTATATTTTGGACAACATGCCTGTTTTAGTTTTAGCAACAATTTTTACTGTTTTGCTTTGAATAATATTTTTAAAATGACAAAGTAATTGAGCTATAAACAAAAGCTTTTTATCTTGAAGGAATAATCAAAGATTTTGAAAAGTTTTGTGAGCTATGAAAGAAAGTTCCTTGAAAAAATACTGGACATTTAATACTCTGACAAAGGAATCTAATAAATATCTACAGCTCTTAGTGAAGTAAAATAAAGTTAACTCACTTTAAAAGGGGAAGACTTTGGTCATCTGGCTTATCAAGCAAAATTTGAAAAAGGTTATGTTAAAAAAATATGTGTATAAACATATATGAAATAAAAGCAGAGTCTTACCCCTGTAGCCTGTAGATGCTGCCTGAATTGATCCATAGTTGTATTTGAGATGCTCATATTCTTGAACATACCTTCCAGTTTAGATGTGAACTGATATCGACATTGAATCATTGGAAATAAAGGACACATATACAAAATCCGAATCTTTATTCATTAATATAACTCTTACTCTTTTAATAGAAAATTAAATATGAATGCTTTTACAGAGTAAGGCTAATCTCGGGGCAGCTACGTGGTGCAGTGGATAGAGCACAGGCCCTGAAGTCAGGGGGACCTGAGTTCAAATCCGGGTTCAGACCAAACACTTGACCCATACTAGCTATGTGACCCTGGGCAAGTCACTTAATCTGAACTGCCTAACAGGAAAAAAAAAAAAAAAAAGAGTAAGGCTAATCTCTATTAATTTACTTTAAGGAAAACAGTGACAAGACCAAAATAAAGCTTTTGAAATGTGTATTATTTCTACTAAATTTAGTTAGCTGGGGGGAATAGAGAGTGGAATGAAGAGTATTCAAGCAGCACTAAGTGAACTACAAAAGATACTGGGATTCTTAGGATTTTATTAATTCTAGAGAAGAACATCTTATAGAAACATTCTACATTAACTGGAAGGAGAAAAAAAAGAATTTACAAATTAAAGTTCACTTAAAATGTTTTCAATCGCACATCACCATGTGCATAATCGTAAGTTACTTGTGCTCAACTATCACATTAAATGTTTTGTTTTTTGTTTTTGTTTTTTTTTTTTAATTTTTGTTGAGATCAGGGTTAAGTGACTTGCCCAGGGTCACACAACTAGTAAGTGTCAAGTGTCTGAGGCCGTATTTGAACTCAGGTCTTCCTGACTACAAGGCTGGAGCTCTATTCACTGTGCCACCTCGCTGCCCCTATTGCATTAAATGTTAATGGGGGAAAAATGTTAACGGGTATCACATTCTGTCTTACTTTTAATTACATATCATATTTTTTTTCTGAGTCATCAGAAATACTTTTATTTGTAAAAAGTCTTTGTGCCCAATGTTGTATAAAATAACGTTCAACTAAGTTTTTCTCTTGTATAAACCTAAATAGGACCATTATCCAATATTATTTATCCAATATTGCTTCTACTTCTTGTTCTGTAAGCTATAAAATTAATTGAAATAATTCATAGATTTGATTTCTATGGAAAGAACAAAACTACCACATAACAAATATATAGGGACTCCAATACCTAGAAGAGAACCTCTTGCTCTGTGTATAACAGGCAACTATAGTTGCACTTAGCATGTTTCCTTATTTGCATTTCATATGTACTTTACCACTAATTGACTCCCATTTTCCTCGCTTCTCCCTCTTTCCTCACTATTAAGTCTACATCCAGTCAACCTGAGAGTCACAGAATACTTTTTTCTAAATGCTACTGAAGATGTCTCTCCAGTAGGAGCTTTTTTCTTCTGACTTCATCTATTTCACAGAATATGGGAAAACCAAATGAGTTAACTTCATGTTTTGAAAACCTGTAGCAATCTCTCATTCATCACGATAAAAATAGGTACAAACATAAAAAGTCAAACTATTCCCTTGACATATCTCAACCATACCAGAACTAATGCACGTATATTAGATTTGTACTCTCATAAATATTCCTATTCCTCTTTTTCTCGCTTAGGCAACAATAGTTAGGGATCCTAAAAGGATCCAACAACACATGGGCAGCTTGGAAGAGTGGACGAAGAGCTGGCCCCAGAGACAGGAAAACCTCAGTCTAAGGCCCACCTCTGAAATATACTATCTATGGTCATCCCAAGCACATCATTTAATCTCCCAATGCTCTTGGCAATTCTCTAAGATTATGTTGCAGACAAAGTGCCAACCAATGTTGGCTTCTTTATCTGGGAGTTTCTGATAACAATGAGATCACAGGTCCAGTTTCTATCAAAAATTTTTCATCCTTCCTCAAACTTCCCCAGGCTCCTCTTTCTCCTTCCCACTCAGCTGAGAACCTGGCCTCATATTTCATTGAAAAAAGAGGCCATTTGCTAAGGGGTCCTTATATTCTCATCTCATATCACTCATATCTTAAGCCACTATCTTCTCCATGAAGAGGTGGCCTATTTCCTTGCCAAGGTAAAGTTCTCTACATGTACAAGTGATTCCATTCCATCCCATCTTCTCCATGAGATTGCCCCTACCATCACTTATCTTTAATTGTTTTCCTGTCTCTTGGCTGCTTCCCTACTGCCTACCACCATGCCCATGTCTCCCCCATCCTTAAAAAATTCATACTTGAGCCATCCCAATCCTACTAGTTGTTGTCCTAGAGCCCTTCTTCCTGTTACAGTAAACTCCTTGAGGAGGTATACAATTGATGCCTTCACTTCCTTTCCTCTTACTGTCTTCTTAACTGTCTGTGGTCTGGCTTCCAGCCTCATCATTTAACTGAAACTCCTCTCTCCAAAGTTAGCAATGATCTCTTAACTGTCCAATCTAATAGCCTTTTCTTAGTCCTCATCCTTCTTCAGATCCAGTAAACCCTTATAAGAAAAAAAAAAATTTTGATAAATTCTAATTTTGCCAATATTAAGATAGATATTATGTATGACATTTTATGTTTGAGAGAAAGCATTGTGTGAATCTACCATAATGATGGGTTGGATACATGAATGATCATGGAAGTTAGTAGTAGTACCCTAAGACTGGAGAAAAGCAAATATTTTCCCGAGTTTTTTTTTTTTTAAGGGAGGCCAAGTTCATTTTCTCAGAAAATTCTATAACTGGTTAGTAAAAAGATGGCTGGTGAATATCTGAAAAGTGAAGTGGTGATTCCAAAAAGCTAGGCTGGCTTTATTTTACTTTATTTTTTTCTCAACAAACACTGTTTTTTGTTTTTTTTTATAGATTTCAGCATTCACTTCCACAAGATTTTAAGTTCCAAATTTTCTCCCCATCCTGTCCCTCCCCACACCCCAAGATGGCATACATTCTGAATACCATTTCTCCTAATCTGCCCTCCCTTCTATCTCCTCCCCCCCTCCTCATTCTCTTATCCCTTTCCTCTTCAATTTTCCTGTAGGGCAGGATAGATTTCTATACCCCATTTCCTGTATATCTTATTTCCCAGTTGCATGTGAAAACAATTTTTTAAACTTGTTTTTAAAACTTTGGGTTCCCAATTTTCTCCCTTCCTCTTCCCCCCCCCCCCCCC